AAAACAAACCCGCTGCTACCACAGGCGATTTTTGATACCACGAGTCATTGATTTGAAAGACTTTCAAAAAGATGAAGATAAAAGGTTAAGCATCGGCGCACCGAGTGTCACAAAAACAACGATTATCTAAAAATAAATACTATTGGGTTGGTGAATTGAAAACTGCGGACTATTGTCATATGTGACGGTTTGAGCGCTTTCTTCCAAAAGAAAACCCATTTTGGTGTCAATGGAAAAGTTGTAGAGAATCAAAAATTAAAGCTTATATCCAATTTTTCAGAACGATTGAAAAACTGGTTTTCAAGAAATGCGAAATTTACGAATTTTCACAAAACTTGCATTTTAAGCGAAACTATTCTGTGTATCTTTTGGAAATTTGGCTATAAGCCTAATTTTTGATTCTCTACAACTTTTTATTGACAACAAAATGGGTTTCTTTTGGAAGAAAGTGCTCAAACTGGGATCTCCAGTCTCCATCTCCAGTCCTCGACTTTTGATCTCACACTTGTCTCACACACAAAACAAAATCCTACTACGAAAGAGGAATCCACAAATTGCCTGTAAAATGGGCAGAAGTCGTCAACAATAATGGAAATTATTTGGAATGAATTGATGGTTTTATGGTGAATAAATTTTTAGTCTAAAGTCCGGCAGTTCTCACTTCACCAACCCAATATTTGCAATGTGTAAAAATGGAAAAAGTTTGTTAATTGTTAATACAATTTGTCAGTTTCGTTAAGGGGAATCAACTCTTAGCTACCGACCTGCGCGAGTATGATTGTGAATAGCCTCTTTTGCAATTCAAGAGTCTTTCCCGAGACATGCGGGGGAGAATCACTGAAATGGATTCGTTTTGTTTAGATGTAGCCCAACAGCCTTTCTAACAACAATGTTTTTTTGTTCGTTGACCCCAATGATCCTTTAGAATTTGGAAAATCGGGCACAAAAAAATGTGTTCAGCTGGGATACAACCCTCATTCCACACATTATAAGAATTGACTAGCATCTGCAAAATTTGATTTTCCACCTGATTGTGAGCGTTTTCGGCAACAAGCCAAATCGAGAAGCCATCGGTGAAGCCAATTGTAGCCGGTCTGTGAGCGAAATGAGGCCATAAACAGAACGACAACATGAAATATGACTCCGCCGAGAAGATCAAGCGCAAATTTTGCGAACGCTATCTAAAAAAGCCGACACAGTACCGTATCCTTCACAAGCTCGACTCCACCCAAACCCACACGGTGAACTCGTAAATGAAGGCCGGCGGGGCGGGCGCTGGCGGATCTTAGTGGAGCCAGTCTCTCGTCGGTGTAGATCTAAAAAAGGTGGTACTTATTTTAGTTGGCTAATTGATAAGTTTTGCGAGTAGTTAGATTAGATTTTTGACTATTTGATTGGATTAGATAATGTCAAAATGTCGAGAGATGTTAGTAGATTATTTACAACAATTTAAAACTTTGCCCTATCTTTACAGGAAGTCTTAAAGAAGGCTTGAAAGAGACTGACTAAAAATTAAGAATATGTTTTGGCTGAGATTTAGCCATTTGAATTACCGGATAAGCTTCAGCTTACATAACTAAAGTTATGTAACTTACAAGTAACTTACAAGTAACTTACATAACGTCTAGTCGTATCCTTAATGTCGTCAAAATAGTTGATGGCGTTCACGATGAAAACGATCGGCCCCGTTGCATAGGCAAATGGGTAGGCAAGCCAGACAAATTTGTTGAAGTATTTCACCTAGAAAATCAACTTTATGAGGATTTAGATATGTGCAGTGTTTGCATCTATGTCTTGCCGTTTTCACGAACTACCGTTTTCACGAATTAAGCACTAAGTCAAAATCTTACCTGATGAAACGGTAGACTTATCGAGAGACGATAATAAACCGTGAAACTGTACGCGTATAGCATGTAGGCAAGGGAAATGACATAATAAGTCTCCAAAATTTAGTGCTATTAAAGAAAATTTCTGTTCTTAAACTTATTAGGAGTGAGATCGATGCTAGATAAAATGAGATTTTGGGGATATCATTAAATATTGGCCTATTTGCTTAGATCTAGATAGGAATATTGGGTAATTGACATGCACTGGAGCCAAAAGCTGGAGCCGAAAAGTAGGTCAGTAAGTCAAAAAGTCAATCGTAGTTTGGATCTATTGAGAAATCCCAAGTCGGTCGGTCAAAAACCGAGACCGAGTGAGCAAATGTCTAATAGATATTAGAAATGTGCTCATGTGGAATCTCAAATGAACAACTAACTGCTGCACAATGGAGAATAAAAGGTGGATAGGGGATAAAAGAACAAGCGTAGAAACCGGCATAGCCATCGAGAAAAATCGGCGCCCCCGAGCGTGGCCATCAAGTCGCACGAGTAGCAAGTGAGCTAGAAATACCATTGCCATTAGTTGGATGCTCGTTTTTGAGTCGAAATTTGTTTGATTAGGTTGATCGGCTTTGGTTGACTATTTTTTCAACTCGATATCCTTGTTTTCCCTTCTTAATAGCTTGCTAATACCGGATGTGACCACCCTACAACTGTGGCAAGTTTATACTTGAGCATACCAGAGTCAATCTGCCAATCCGGAATGTCTTATTCTTGTTTTCTGCTCCCTTCTACCAATCTATTATACCAATCGCGTTCAGTTTTTTAGAATGACTGAAAAATCCCCATCGACAATCGATCATCGAATCCAGGAAGTTGTTTTAGCAGAACTCTTGGACTTTCTTGGATTTGTGGGCCGGTGCGCCATCGCACAAGCGAGGTGTTTCTTTGCCGGAGATTCATAAATCTCTTAAGGTCGATAGAAGTGTCATTTTCCGCACTATTCAACGCTACAAAGCTACGGGAACAAGGAATAATTACTGATGCACCAAGAAGCGGTAGACGCCCAACTGTCGTCACAAAGACAAACATCAAGCGAGTGAGGGATCGAATCAAGCGATCTGTGGTGGTTTTCGGCGTCATCACTGCAACAGAAAAGACTCCTTTCCTATTTGTTGCCCAAGGTGTGAAAGTCAATTCCGATAACTACCTGGCTCTTCTCAAGGATGAACTCTTGCCCTGGGCTCGTAAATATTTTGGAAATCGCATTTGGACTTATTAGCAAGATGGCGCACCGGCACACAAATCCAAGTAAGTCCAAGAGTTCTGCCAAAACAACTTCCTGAATTTCTTTTCTTTTTCTGAGTGGCCACCTAGCTTCTTTTCTTTTTCTGAGTGGCCACCTAGCTCTCCAGACCTCAGCCCAATGGATTTTTCAGTGTGCTCAATTCTAGAAGCCGAAGCTTGTTCAAAGCCCCACAAAAACATCGAAAGCTTGAAGAAATCACTGTTGAAAGAAAGCGTGGGAAGAGCTCAATCCAGCCTATTTGGTCGCCACCGTTGACGCCTTTCCGAAACACCTGCGAGCCTTTTCAAATGCTAATGATCGCCGATTCGATTTTGATAGTTGATTTATAATTGTTAATGTATAATAAATATGATTCAGTTAAAATTTGTTTTTTTGCTCTTGTCTGCCTTAAAATCAGAACTTTAACTTGTTGCGACAATTATGAGGCACCCTGTATGATCCAATCCATTCTACGATTGCTAGTCAACCTCCCTAGACTTTCTAAAATTGCTTTCAGATATTTGTTTAGATCATTTAAAGCTCTTGAAGCCAGGAGGTTTATATCTAAGGCTTAACTATTTTATTTATACAGTTGAATTCTTTTCCTGGACTTACCACCGAGTTGATTATCGCCCATTTGTACAACTTCATATTCTCTATTGTGTTTTTGTACGTCAAATAGCAGATCAGCACGACGGATGCTAAAATTTTGTTGATTGGAGAAATTTGCAACTACTCAGCGCTACTCAATACTTTAAAACCTGTATCCGCAAAGCCTATGACCAGGAAAAGCCATGAGACATAGAAGCATTGGCTTGCATCAAAATAAAACATTTTTAAGTCGATAATTTTAGTTATTTTAAGAAAGCTTTTACAAAAACCAAAGGCCAAAACTAAAACTTTTCGATGGATTTATAATTATCAGGTGAATTTAACAGGTGAATTTGTTGGCCTCATCAAAAATTCTCCAGTTGGAAAAAATTTGATTAGGCATACGTTTGCATTGTAATCTTTTTCTTGTATTGTAAAGAGAGCGATGATTTAAAGTTCTAAAAGTTGCATGTATACACAAGGCACATGGTGTGTACATAAAGCAGTCTTGCAACTAATACAAGGTGATCGAAAAGTTCCCGCACAAATATGGTCGTTGTCTCTTACAGGGACCAGTTAGACAATTCATGAGGGCTTCAATTTGTCTTTTATATCCAGGTTACTTTTATCGTTTTAAATTTTAGCAGAATCCAAACAGTTTTCGTTTTTTGAAGACAAAATAGCAATAAAGCAAGCTAGCAATGAAGCAAGCTGGCAATAAAAGGTTTTTTTTGCGAAAATACAATACACAAAGTTTCTATAGGATGAACAAAGTCTTTGGCCGAGGCCAAAAGCGAACTCTATGTATAATCTGTTTAAAGGATTAAGCTATACAATTTATTTGTAAAGTATTTGCAATTAAAGGTATTAAAGGCTTCGACTTGGTATGCTTTTGAGAACAAAGTGCACGTCTTGTGGAAGTTGGCAAAGTTGATTGACATTATGATCAGATGGCGAACATTTATCTCTGATAGGGCTTCACCAAGCTGACCAAGAGCTGAACAAGCTGACCAAGAGCTGACCAAGAGCTGACCAAGCTGACCAAGAGCTGACCAAGCTAACCAAGAGCTGACCAAGCAGCGTAATTTGTCTTGTAGATCTCAAGCCGCTTGAAAGAGCTTCAAAGAGAAAGTCATACCGGCCTTTAATTTTGATTTTATACAGAAAATAGCGAGTTAAATCATAGATAACTAAGAAAATATAAAAGACACTAAAAATAAGTTTGTGTTTGATGTATTAAAAGCTTTTAAAGCTTTCCACCAACCTTACTGCCTCTTCGTGATCCAGCGGCAGAGCCCTCCTCATCCAAAAGAGGCTTTTTGTCAACGACGACTTTTTGCACAAAAGAATTGTATGCTCTTTTGTAGTGGGACGAGCTGGTCTCGACGGATCTGATCTTTGCCTGGTCTCTTGATCTTTGCTCAATATACTTCTCCTAATCCATTCGGGCAAAACTCTGAAGTTGTTGGTCACCTTGATGTCTTTGTTCAGAATCTTCAGAAGTAAACCAAAACTTGCTGCTTGCACTTGTAGAGTGTGCACAGTGCTGCCAGCTCCGAACCAAACTGATATTTTAGTTACTATTGTTTTTAACTATTGTTATTTGAATGATTTGTCTATTCTTATGCAAATGTGTTCTCCCCTGTGCTAATCCCTTTTATTGCCGAGAAGGGGCGGTCCTTGGGATTGCCTAGGAGGACAAGTGAGGCTCTCATTTGAAGCCCCTCCTTCCCCTTTCACTCATTTGTAATCTATTCGTCTTTGTACTACTGTAAATAAAGATGTATATCTTCCGGGTCTATGCAACTGCAGTACAGGTCGGTCATTTCCCAGGGACTCCCCTCTAACGTTGGAGGAGTTGAGTTGGGTTGTCGGGGTGTTAGAGATGGCGGGATATCGAAAGGATCCACTCTCTTTAGCTTAACCCAAATGCTAGTCCAGATCCGTTTCTACCTAGGAACGGATAGTGCAAAGTTTTGACAACAAGTGATCAACCAACATTTGAATATTTCTCTCAAAAAACACTAGTTTTCGATTTTTACGTTTTTTTTTTCAATTTCTATCAAAACTTTTTCGTAAGTGTATTTACTAATTGATGAGGTTTTTATTTCTGTATTTTATGCCAATATAATCTCTATTATAACTTGTCTAGTTGAGGTTTAAAAAAGAAGATCATTTTCAGAAGATCTTTTTCAGGAGGGTCACGTTCAGGTCCTTAACTTTCTCCAAGATTAGCACAAATTGTTGATTCGGTTTTTCTATTTTGTAGCATTCATTAAAAGCTTTCAAATGAGATATAACACTCGGAGGATTGTCTTCATTTTCTTCTTTTAATTCATCAATAAGCATTCGTTCAATAATTTTGACGCCCCTGTATATGAGTTTTTTTTCGCTACATTTAGGGCTTAGGGTTGTGCTTGTGTATTTTTTGTACCACATTATTCATGTAAATAAATGTATTTATTTAATGAGTACAATACAGGAGCTAAAGTCAAATAGTAAGCAAGCACAATAAATATAAAAAATCTCAAAAATCTTGCCATTACTAAAATTTTTTAAATTTAGAAGAGTCTTTGACCACATTTTTTGAGTTAGTCGAGTAAAACCGGCGCTGAAAAAGTCATTTCGCAAACGTTGTGACCTGGAAAATGGTTAATCTTTCAATCAGAACACCAAAAATTTTAGTTTAACAAAAAGACATTAGAACTTGTTTCAAATGGCGCACTTTGTGCGCAAACTAGACGACACTCAAACTACTTCCGATGCACTAAATGCATCGGTACTTGTCGGTTATACATCCACAAAGATTCATCTTGGTTAACTTTTGATAAGAGTTTATCCCAAAAAGTTATGGCCCTTTTACTGGGATACGCGCAATAGAGGTCTTCTATAGCGCAGTCGGTAGAGCGTCTGTCTCTGGGGCGGGAGGGGTTTCGTCGGGTGGACCACAATTTCGTCCACCGGTGGACCGAACCGTCCCAGGGGCCAGATGGGCTTCGTCCACCAGTGGATCGAACCGTCCCAGGGGCCAGACGTCCTTCGTCCACCGGTGAACCGAACCTTCCCAGGGGCCAGACGGCCTTCGTCCACCAGTGGACCGAATCGTCCCAGGGGCCAGACGGCCTTCGACCACCGGTGGACCGGAACCGTCCCGAACGTGTTAAAAATTTTTTCCCTAATCATTTTTGAGTTTTTTTTTGTGCATAACTAGGCATAGTAAAGCTTAAAAAACTAGCTTTAAATGTTTTTTTGGCTCTCGATTCAAAGTAAAGTTCAATTTAGATCTATTCCATTCATATTTCCGTATCTTTATGTCTCGAGAACAAGGAAAAACTGAATGCGTCAGAAGAAGTGCGTTTGCATTTTTGGGCACAAAGTGCACTACAAAGAACTCCGAAATTTACCTCGTGCAATCTTTATAAATCCATCATTTCCCCACTCTGAGCCCGCCGAGTTCTTGGCAATCCAGTACGGGGTTCCGCCTTCAAAATCTGAAAAAATCAAAATCGATCCATTGCAGCAGCAAATCAAAAATTCTATTGAAGATTTAAGAGACTTCAAACTTACAGTATCCACGACGCTTCAGCAAATGCCAAAGTAGAGAGCCTCGAAAGAGCCAAAAAGGGTTGAGAGGTTCGACACCTGAAACATTATAGATATGAAATTTATATTGAAATTTTTCAATGAGAAGATTGGGTTGGTGGAAAAGTCCTTTCCAATTTTTTGGGAGAGTACCTTAAGTTTGTCCGACGTTTTATAGCTCATCCTAAAGCTGAATTCAAGACGGATCGATTGGTAAAAACCGTTTTGAGATATCTCTTTTCTAAAAGTTTTTACAGCTATTTTAGTAAAGGGCGGCAGGGCCAAAAAATGGCTGTTTTCACGTTTCGTTAGTTTTCCGTGCAGAAACCTAGGCTAAAAACATGTGTTTCGTGATCAGCGTCAAAAATAACCCGTCAAAATATTGATCTGAGGGTCGCTGGTTCGACTTCCACCGGTGACAATATTTTTCAAAAATTTTTTGCTAAAATTCTGAAAATGCGTGTCTAGGGGTTATTTTTGACGCTGATCACGAAACACATGTTTTTAGCCTAGGTTTCTGCACGAAAAGCTAAGATTTACATTTGCATAGTTATGTCGAAAACGATTGTCTTTTCAATGACCTACCGTATCCAACAATCGCCATCGCATGGGAGTGTTTGGAATGAAGGCAATCCCTTGCTTCGGGAATCCAGACACCGAAACGATATTGGAAAAATGCTGGAGCAAGTTTCATTCCTAGAATTCGAAAGCCTAAGCGTTTAACAATGATATTTTTAATTCTTAGGAAAGAAGGAAGTGCAGTAGACACTATAAACTACAAAAATGACAAACTCTCACACTAAAAACGCTTCTAACTTGCTTCAAATCGGTCGGATTGACATGAGCTATAACTCAAAAAATAGAGAATCTCAAGGGCTTTCTAATGGTTGAAAGAACACGCTGAATGCCCAATGCTAAAGAAAGTTACAGTGGTTTGTAGTAGACTTATCACGAAATCATTTTTTCCCGTTGGCAGATTAAGGTTTTTTGTGTTTTTCTCAGCATAAACACCTCTATTTTGACTATTTTGACTATCATTCGATGCAGAAGAAAATTACGCGTTGAATCATACCAAAGTCAACCCAAAATATAATATCCATGCAAAGTTGTTGGCCAAAAACCTAAACTCCGCCCATTATAGGTGGGACTCAACCTTTTGCCTCATAACTTTGCATGGATATTGTATTTTGAATTGATTTTGGTATCATTAAACGCGCAATTTTCTTCTGCATCGAATGATATGTTAGAAGCGTTTGTAGTTTACATTTTTAGCTTATAGTGTCCATGTCTAAAGTGCAGACCAGAAAGCTCTCTCACCTACAGCCACCGGCCCATTCTTTGCTATCCAATCTGCAGCTTTTTCCTCATTGTCGCCGAAGAGAATATGGGAGGAGATTTTGAAACGTTTCTAAAATCATTAAGCTTTAGAAAGTACATTGAATCATTTTGTAGTTAGTCAAAATAGAGGCTTCGGTACTCACAGCGCCTTTTCTCTTTGCTTCACTGCAGTCCTTTGATGCGGAGCGATTCCAATCGTGTTTCGGGTAGAGATGCTCCTCGTACAATCCATACTCGGCAATATAACTGTATTTATCGTATTTAAATGTAGTACTTGTACAATGCAGTACAAAGGTACAATGCAGTACAATGGTACAATGCAGTACAAAGGTACAATACAGTACAATGGTACAATACAGTACAATGGTACAATGCAGTACAATGGTACAACGCAGTACATACTGTTGTAGAAAACTGGCATATTGTTGTACTTACTTGAACGCTCTCGGCATCGATCCACCCATGCATCCACTCTGTCGACCCTCGCAATCGATAAGCTGTTGTTCGGAGAGAATAACCTAAAGGAAAAGGTTACATTTTAAAGCTTAGAATGGCTAGGCTTTGCATATTGACCATTTGCATGTATTTAAACTTACATATTTCTTTCGTTTGATGGCCAAAGCTGATTCGACTGTTGCGACCGCTGTGTGTATCCAACAGCTACCACAAACTCCTAGACAAAACAGAAAATTAACCTCAATCTCTAACTTCAATTGTAACTTCAACAGAATTAGACTTGTACTTTGTGCTTAGGAATGAAAACACACCCTTTCTGGTGCTTTTTTGATACAAGACACGCTACGAAACTTTTCTAATTGTAAGGGATCAAAAAAGGACAAGTAAGTGAAGTTCTATATTTGAAATGCAATATTTCTATATTTGAAAATCGTATACTTTCATCTTGCAGGTATAAAAGCTCTAATAAGATTGAAACAGATCTTTTCAAGTTTTAAAAAGATTGAAGAAGATCCTTCAACTTGCCTTGTGATTTCACTGGAGACACTTGTCCTGTTCTTCGCCAATCCACTGACAAAGGATTATGCGACACGTTTTGTGGAGAAAATTTGAAGGAACGATGAGTCTGGAAATAAGATTATTATTGGGAAATTGAAACTTTGAAACGAAATAAAAGAAAAAAACCGACTGGTAGTGGAAAAAGGATGACAAAAAGTACTAGAGTCAGAGTCGCAAAAGTGGCACGGAGAATTCGATCACATGTAGCTTTCTGCCTGGATTTTCAAACTGGATTTTCAAAAACTATTGAAAAATAATTACATTTAAGATTTATTCAATTAAGAAAGAGTTATTCAATTTAAGAATACAATTTTTCAATTCAAGAACTTTAACTATGCCTTCAGTATTGGGTTGGTGAATTGAAAACTACCGGCTATTGTCATAGGTGACAGTTTGAGCATTTTCTTCAAAAGAAACCCATTTTGGTGTCAATGGAAAAGTTGTAGAGAGTCAAAAATAAAGCTTATATCCAGATTTTCAGAACGATTCAAAAACTAGTTTTCAAGAAATGCCAAATTTACGAATTTTCACAAAACTTGCAACAAAACTTGCATTTTAAGCGAAACTACTAAGTGTATCTTTTTGGAAATTTGGCTATAAGCCTAATTTTTGATTCTCTACAACTTTTGTATTGACACCAAAATGGGTTTCTTTGGAAGAAAGTGCTCAAACTGGGCTGACAGCTGACATCTCCAGTCCTCCATTTTTGAGTCTCACACTTGTCTCACAAACAAACTAAAATCCTACAACGAAAGAGGATCTGCAAATTGCCTGTAAAATGAGCAGAAGTCGTCAATAATAATGGAAATTATTTGGAATGAATTCATGGTTTTATGTTGAATAAATTTTAGTTCAAAGTCCAGCAGTTTTCAATTCACCAACCTAATAGCTAAGATTTCACCATGAACTCACTTTTTGCCCACAGATTTGACTGATTCTAGGTGATTTGACTCCTTTTCTTTCCACATAAGGCTGGGAATTCGAGTATCGAGTAGAAAAAGTATCGAGTATCGAGTAGAGAATTAAAGTTGAATAATAAAGTAAATACTTATTTGATTTTGAAAACTTTATGACCTCTTTGATCCAGTCTCTTCATTCGCCAGATAGCTTTGATCTTGCCGCAATTATTCCGATTGAATTTCGGAAATTATTCTGATTGTGCAGAAAAGTAGCTCTTTTCTGTGAAATCTTATTTGATGTCTTGATTTTGAATATCTCTGATTCTCTTGTTCTTCCTGTAAAGATCGTTTGTGTGATTAAAAGGGACGGAGCCCACTTTGCATTCGTTCTCGTTTGGCTTTGACACACTGAATCAACGATTGATTCTATTTTATTGTATTTTCTCGCTAGATTAGTGATTGTGGTATATTCGGAATAAATATCTAAATAATCATTGCCCCATCGGTACCCTCTCACGCACTGCACACTGGTTCAGTGTGTCAAAGCTAAAGTCAAAGCTGTGTCATCTCGAAGACGCAAGTTGTTTTTCCTCTGGTAATTGAAATTGTTGTGGATTTCTATAGTTGATTTCTATAGAATTCCGATCTGATCTGATCAATCAATTCAATGAGCTGATTGAGCTGATCGATTCAGAATTCTGATCTCATCTGATCAATCAATTCAATGGTCTGATTGAGCTGATCAAGTCAGAATTCTGATCTGATCTGATCAATCAATTCAATGATCTGATTGAGCTGATCGATTCAGAATTCTGATCTGATCTGATCAATCAATTCAATGATCTGATTGAGCTGATCGATTCAGAATTCTGATCTGATCTGATCAATCAATTCAATGATCTGATCAATCAAGTCAATGATCTGGTTGAAAATCGATCAATGATCTGATCTGTTTGAACCGATCAAATGCAAACTGATAGTTTGATTACAGTTGTTGTTTTCAAACGACTGATTACAGTTGTTTTCTTTAATAACTACCTTTTAGAAAACGAATTAATGGTTAAGTAAAGCAAATTTTTTAATGTTTAACTTTAAAAAAGGACTCTGATGTCTATCAGAGTCATTTTTCAGAGGAGTTTGACTCTAAAACACTATTGAAATTGGTTCATTCATTCTCCACAAACGTCCAAAACGATTTTCGATCAACAAACCGAAGCTTTTTTTAGTAAAATCTAGAGATCTTTAATATAAGAAGTAGACGAAGAAAGAAGAAAAAGGGAAAAGAAAGAAGAAAAAGAAAAATGAAACGTTAAAGTGAAACATTTACGAGCAAGGCTATAAACGAAACGAATCGATAAGGAAGTTTCAGACGAAAAATCGAGCTTTCAAGCAACAATTTTTGTCAATGAGTGATTTGTACAAAAATTTATTCTCATAATATGCCAACTTATAAGCTTTTGAATAATGATGGTCAAAAAAGGATTCAATCGCGACTTCTTTTCATTGGTCTACTTGTTGTATTCATTTGCTCGTTAGTCTATTATTCAGTGTATGATCGTTATGTTGCTGGGTAAGTCTGTAGATTGCTGTAGATTATTTAGATTGCTTTTTTCTTGTTGATTTTGAGATGTTGTTTGGGTAATTCAATCAGAAATCCATTAATAACTGGACAAACCTTGACTCGGACCAACCTTTTTAACTCGATCTTCACATCTAGATCGTTTAAATTGAATAAAGAAAATACTTAGCATAAAAATGCTTTTAAAAACCGTTAACTATATACTCTTAGTAACTCAAATCCAAAAGCTTTTGGTCCTAAGCCGTTTTGTAAGTTCTAGAAGTTGAAAGAAGCTGTTTTGCTCTTTTTGCTCTTTTTGCACAAACGCGGTTCGTTCTCAGCGTCCAGATTTTGAATAAAATAACACATTTTTAACTCTGAATAGCCAAATTAGAACCTAATTTATGTAAGATCATTTTTCAGGAAATTTTCTAAACATCTTTTTGGATTTTCTTTTCTTTACGGAAAAAAGAGATTTTTATTTGTGGGTAAATTGGATCTTAATAAGAAAAAAAAAGGAATATTTTCTAATAGGAATAAGTTATTTTTTTTTTAATTTAATAATTTATTCCACATTCGAGGGCGCGTTTGTGCAAAAGAGTGGCTGCGGGGTTTGGGGGTTCTTTCTTTCAACTCTAGTACAGAAACGGCCAGGTCCTTGAGTTTGGGTTCAAAGGGAGTTGGGTTTTTAAAGTGTTTTTTCCGCTGGGGGGTTTTTTTATTTGAACAAATTTAGTCCATCTGGATGTGAAGATCGAGCGAAAAAGGTTTGTCCGGGTTATTTCTGATCACAGTGTACAAGAGAAAACAACAAGAATTTACATTAGAAAGTTGTTGGAAGACGGGAAAGTAGGCTATAGGCTAAGGGCTAAGTAGGCTATAGGCTATAGGCTAGGTAGGCTATAGGCTGTAGGCTAGGTAGGCTATAGGCTAAATACGCTATAGGCTAAGTACGCTACAGACTAAGTAGGCTATAGGCTAAGTAGGCTATAGGCTAGGTAGGCTATAGGCTAGGTAGGCTATAGGCTAAATACGCTATAGGCTAAATACGCTATAGGCTAAGTACGCTACAGACTAAGTAGGCTATAGGCTAAGTAGGTTATAGGCTAAGTACGCTATAGTAACTGCTTGACGGCCCATAGTTTAAATACAACCTTTTGTAATTTGTAAATCATATAATCTGTATCATATAATCATATAATCATAATACTGTACATAATTTGAATTTAGAATAGTTAAACTGAATTTGAGGGGTAAAAATCTCATATCAAAAGTCCCATTGATCTTCGCCCGATCCTCTGAAATCATCCGCCTTCACTGCTCTCTCAAAATATAACATTTTTCTAAATGTTTTTAGTACTAAAAGGTAATCATATTCAGAGAAAATGAACGCAAAACTCATCTTTTAAAATAAAGCCTTTGATCTCACCGTCTAATCCTTTTTGATCTCGTCGCCAAATCCATTTGATCTCGTCGCCAAATCCCTTTGATCTCACCGCCAAATTCAGTTTTTTCAACGTTACTCAAAAACGGCCAGAGATTTTTGAATTCTGAATTGACAGACCAAACATCCGGGCTCGATTGTATCAAAAAAATAGAACGAAATCTCTACTAAGGCTTGAGTTATGGCCAAGACAAACAAACAAAGACGAACTTTGCGTCTTATAAAAACTAAGACAAGTTGATTTTCAAAGACTTTCAGAACCATCATCTCCATTCAGCAAAATCATTCAACAAACATTGGAAAGAATCATTCGGAATCAAGAATTGGAAAGAATCATTCGGAATTGGACCAATCAGAAATTGGAAAGATCAAAAATCATTCGGTAATTTAATATTTATCAACTATCAATCTTTGATCTATCAATCTTAGATTCCAAAGGTAGAATCAACTCGTTTCATCGAGATCTCACCAGGGAATTTCGCCTTTCTTGCCATTGTTGATCACAGGAACAGGGAATCAGTTGCTTCAAACTCAGTGCCAGCCAAACCTCTTAAAACGTTTCAAAATGGTGGATTATTTATCTCGTTATTTCAAGGTGAGTAACGATTTACAGAAGATTAAGCATGACTTTTATAGCCAGTCAGGATCACCTTAGGCCACAAGTGCGGGTATTGATGGCAATTACGAAAACCACTGGCTATTCTTGTCAGGTAATGTTTCAACCGTCATTACTATTCAGTAAAACTCGTCAGTAAAACTCGTCAGTAAAACTCAGAGATGGCTGAGCACCTGATGCATTCACCTGCAATCTACAGGGTGCAGCAGGATTATTGCAACCGCCTCAGGGCATCAATATTAGTTCCAACAACTATCTCGACATACTTAAGAAAGATCCATAAGCCAAGAACCACTTTGGCAACAGGATTTGGTGTTTTATGTAGGATGATACTAATGCTCACAAGACTCGAGTGGTTCAGGCCTGGTGCAAACACATTTTTTTATTTTTTTTACATTTTTACTAGCATTTTTTACATTTTTACTAACATTTTTTATCAATCAAGTAGCTCAAAGTCATGAACAGTGCCAACATAAACGATAGATCTAGTAGCTAAGTCATAGACCTAGTAGTTAAGTCGTAGATCTAGTAGTTAAGTTCATAGATCTAGTAGTTAGGCCATAGATCTAGTAGTTAAGTCATAGATCTAGTAGTTAAATCATAGATCTAGTAGTTAAGCCATAGATCTAGTAGTTAAGCCATAGATTTAGTAGTTAAGTTCATAGACCTAGTAGTTAAGCACATCTTTGTTCAATCTTACATCCAAATTCAGTTTGACAATGGTGCAACAGTCCCTGGGAAACTGTATCAATTCAATGAAAATCACGGTAAACAACTGAAAGTCTACTATTTGAATTGTCTTCCGCCGAAGGATGTTTTACTAGAAAACATTGGTAAAGGTCAAATATCTTAATAGATATTTGACAAGTTAAACAAGAAAGCTTGGTAAATATGAAAGGTTATTTTTTACAAAAAATATTGCCCTGTCGTTACGAAGAACATTCGCTGTCTAGGACTTTTCTCAATAATATGTCAAAATGTGCTCATGTTTTTTTTGCAAAAACTTTTTTGTTTTGAATAATATTTGTATTGTTTCAGCTCGGCAAAGATGGATGACCAAAAATTTAAAATCAGGGCCGGCATTTTCTTTGAATTCAAGTTAAACAAGAAAGCTACGGAATGCCATCAGAACATTTGTACTATTTTTGGAGAAGCTGCTCTTACTTACAAACGATGTTGTGTTTGGTACGATGGCTTCAAAACGGGAAACGAGTCATTGGAAGATGCACCACATGGAAAGCCGCAGATTACTTTGGACGATCAGCTGTTACTGAACGAGGTTGACTTGGATCCATCGCAAATTAGCAGAAAAGTTCGGATGCACTCATGTTACCATTTACACGTTTTCGGGAAATCATATCGAAGCGGTAAATGGCTCCCCCACGACCTCACTGATGCCCACTAAGTCACACGAGTCACCTTGAGCTCTGTTCTTCTACGTAAAGCTAGCCATCGTGACTTTTGGAAGTATTTTTTTGACATCTGATGAGACTTGGCTTTTGTATGAAAATATTCAACTCTATGGACAGTGGCTGAGTTCAAAGCAGACCTCTCATCCTATCCCGAAGCCTCCGAAAAAGTTATGCTTTGTGTGTGGTGGAATCCTAAGGGATTGGCTCATTTTGAAATATTAGATAAAGGAGACACTGTTGACGGGAGACTTTATGCAGAACAAATGGGTCGAGTCGATCCAGCATTGAAGAAAAAGAGGATCGATCCATCGAAGGTCAAATTTCTTCACGACAATGCTAGGCCTCACATTTCAAAGATCGTCCAAGAACAAATCGATACGTTGAGCTGGAAACTTCTTCCACACCCACCATACAGCCATGATCTAGCCCCATCGGATTACTATCTCTTTCGGTCAATGAAACAAGCAGTTTCTGGACAGCAGTTCAAACAAAAGTAGGACATCGAAAATTGGGTTGGCAACTATTTTGCCTCTAAAAATCTTCATTTTTACGAGGACGGTATTCGTGATTTGGGGCAACGTTGGAAAGAAGTTATTAATGCTTGTGGTGAATACATCTTATTTTGAAAGTGTTTAAATAAATTTTTCTGTTATGTTAAAAATGATCAAAAAAATAACCTTTCATATTTACCAAGCTAATATTTTCCCATCAATTTCTTCAGAAAATATTACGATTATACACGATTCTGTGCCGATTCTGAAGAAAGTCATTGTGCCGATTCTGAAGAAAGCCATTGTGCCGATTAGTTACAAGATACAGGTCTGCTGCTTCAGTCAACATACTTGAGATTTTCTTAAAAGTATTTCAGGATGAACAAAATATGACCAATTTCAAGCAAACTTTCGCCATTTGTGTTCCATTTTTATTCGGTGACAAATACACTGGTAAACATTTAGTGGAGTTTATCGAAATGAATCGATTGTTGGGCGTTGAACAGGTGATCAAGAGCTTCAAAGATCTAGAGCTTGATGTCTAGGATTTAAATTTTGATAACAAACATGAGTACTCTTTTACTTTAGAAGCCCCCAAACCATAGCTTTCACTTTTTTTTGCGTAAAATTCAAATTTCCGCGTTAATTCAATAATTTGCATAAAGATTATATTATTTTAAAAATGTTAAATGGTCATTATTATTATCTGGCACAATGGTCATTCTTATTATCTGGATCCGCTCGACTTCCTTCGAGGGATTAAAGCAGAGCAACGAAAGCTGTTCAACTTTATAAGCCTTCGATCAATGCAATATCAAAGCAATATCAAAGCCATCAAAATAAACTAAAGGACATGGGGCTACTTTGCAAATGAAAATGAATTGGAAATGATTATTGGAAATCTAAGCTGAGGAAAAGAGCCAGAAAAAGCCAGAAAAGAAAAAGAAGCCAGAAGCTAGAATCCGAAGAAACAATCAAAGAAAAAGAAGCCAGAAGCCAGAATCCGAAGAAACAATCAAAGAAAAAGAAGCCAGAAGCCAGAATCCAGAAGCCAGATCAATACAAAAGGTGGAAAAAGTGCTATGGAAGTTTTTAAGTTGTTAGTGAAAGTTTATCCCCTAATGGTTTGGGGGCCCTAAAATAAAAAACTACCCAAAAATGTATTGATTGTGATGAAAAGCTTTCGGTAATAGCTTTAAATTATAAAATTACGGTAGCTTTACGTAAAATCACGGATTAAGATAGCTTTATCTTTGGCTAACTTTTAGAAACAGTCTATTTAAGGAAAGTAAAGACTTTTTCTATTTATTAAACATTTCATAGTTACTTGCCCAATTATTTATTGACGCCAAGCAATTAAGCTTTTGTTAGTAAAGCATTTAGATCTCAATTTACGCAGATGACTCGATGAATGCTGATGTGAAGAGGGTTATGAACGGGTATGCAAAGGAAGGGTTTGTCCATATCGATATGTAAATATTATTGTAAAACTGTTTCAGACTCCTGGAGGTCATCCCATTCTCTTTGCCATTTAATGATTCAAATATTTGGTCCTATGGGCAACTCTTAACGGTAAGATTTACTAAAGCAAGCTTGAAATTTTAAGCTTGCAATGTATTCACTTCCTACAATGCCTGCAATGGGCCAAAGCCTGCAGTGGGCCAAAGGCTGCAATATGCCAAAGGCTGCAATGTGCCAAAGGCTGCAATGTGCCAAAGGCTGCAATGGGCCAAAGGCTGCAATGTGCCAAATGCTGCAATGTGCCAAAGGCTGCAATGGGCCAAAGGCTGCAATATGCCAAAGGCTGCAATGTGCCAAATGCTGCAATGGGCCAAAGGCTGCAATGTGCCAAAGGCTGCAATGGGCCAAAGGCTGCAATGGGCCAAAGCCTGTATTCAAAGGCTGCAAAGTGCTAAAGCCTTAAATGTACCAAAGCCTGCAATGTGCCAAAGTCTGCAATATCCCAAAGTCTGAAATGTGCCAAAGCCTGAAATATGCCAAGCCTGAAATGCCCCAAAGCCCGTTTTCACTTTCAGATCACCGATTGCATTCTTCGTCACACTGGCAGGACAGAATTCGTAGCTCTCCATGATTTGGATGAGTATGCAATTCCAAAATCACTAAACCCAAATGATCCTCCACCAAATAGGTAAATTGTTGATAATTTGATTTGATTAGGTAAATTGGTAAATTTTCACTGGGTAAATTGCCGACTAATTTGATTTTTGAACATTTTTAGACTGACACTCTTGCCTCAACTCTTCTCTAACAAGCAAATCGCCACATTGCGACTCAACGTTCACTACTTTATGCCGGAGTGAGTAAATTTGATTCTTTATCTAATTAAAGCCTGCCTAAATTTAGTGAGAAAGGTTTGCCAATCACAATTAACAGTCAACAACGAATCGATTACGCGGACAATCAAGCCACAAAGTGCGTAGTGAGACCACATTACATTTATGCACAGGTTGGCTTGCTAACTAACAAAGGACGGTCAACCCTGGTTGACCCGGCCAAACGCTAAGCGATCTATACCATTTGATGCACTTTATGCTGATCCCGTAAAAGCTGTAGCCCATGTAGCCCATGTAGTAGCCCCCCTCTAATAGTAGCCTCCCACCAAACAATAGGCCTGCCCAAATTGCATAATACTTTGGCTTTTGATTGAATATTTTGTACCTTTCCTTGAAATTGCAAAATATTCAGTCAAAAGGAGTGATTCATTGACTTTATACTGTGTAAAGTGTAGCGTTTAACAAATTGCTTTTGCCAAGAAACGCTTTTACTACGTTTCCTTTTACTAAACTAAAAAACGTCTTGTATTCGCGCTTTTGTAGTCGCTTGCTCGAAATCATTTCACCTTTCCCACCATTTCTTTATGATTTTAGAAGTATTCTCTCATAAAAATCGAGATGAAATATCAAAATCGTCTGATTGTGCGCGCGCATATTACGACATTGTGCAGATTGTGCGCGCGCACAAAGAATACTCTTCTTGGGTCAGCACTTCTTGAAAACAAGCAAAAGAAAGACCCAAAGTGGAGATCGAACTTGTGAGGTCGAACGGTTGAAATGAACGCTGTACCATTCGGCCACGGCTGCATCGAATTCGGTCCGCAAGAAGGCCGCTAAGACCCAAATGACCATATTTCCAGATAGCTGCACTGTCTGGGGCCTGCTGCTAGGACCCAAATGGCTGCTAGGACCCAAATGGCCACATTTTCAGAGTCCTAACAAGAATTTAGACGCTTATAGCCTAATAGATTGTTATTTAGCAAAAATGGGATACATATTCTGAATCAGGAGAAAATTCTGCCTCGAATTTTATAGGTCACATAGCATTTGGCCGGCTCAGCCAGTTGATCTTCCCTTGTAAAAAAAGCAATGGCAAAAAAAACATTGCTTAGCATTGTTTGTGTTGAAAACAGATCAATTTTAGGGAATCCATTCCACTTTTGGCCCCATTCAAAAGCCATATTCCACAGGTTATGGAGATGAGAAACAAATGATTCTCTTTCATTACAAAGAAAAGGAACTAGCAATGGAAAGGATAGAAGGAAGGATTGGGAAAACGAGAGCGTCAAAAATGGTAAGGAATCAACTTTTAATTGTAATAGTTCTGTAATCGTTGAAAGAAAGGAGTAAGAATTAGACTTGTAACGAAAAAATCGATCAGTCCTTTTTTGCCGTTGGCAGTTTAAAGTTCCGTATCCAACAATCGCCATCGCATGCGAGTGTTTGGAATGAAGGCAATCCCTTGCTTCGGGAATCCAGACACCGAAACGATATTGGAAAAATGCTGGAGCAAGTTTCATTCCTAGAATTCGAAAGCCTAAGCGTTTAACAATGAGATTTTTAATTCTTAGGCAAGAAGGAAGCGCAGTAGACACTATAAAATACAAAAATGACAGACTGTCACATTAAAAAGCTTCTAACTTGCTTCAAATCGGTCGGATTGACATGAGCTATAACTGAAAGAAATAGAGAATCTCAAGGGCTTTCTAATGGCTAAAAGAACACGCTGAAAGCCCAATGCTAAAGAAAGTTACAGTGGTTTGTAGTAGACTTATCACGAAATCCTTTTTTCCCGTTGGGAGTTTAAGGTTTTTTGTGTTTTTCTCAGCATAAACACCTCTATTTTGACTATTTTGACTATCATTCGATGCAGAAGAAAATTACGCGTTGAATGATACCAAAGTCAACCCAAAATATAATATCCACGCAAAGTTATAAGGCAAAAGGTTAAGTCCCGCCCATAATGAGGTTTTTAGCCAACAACTTTGCATGGATATTGTATTTTGAATTGATTTTGGTATCATTCAACGCGCAATTTTCTTCTGCATCGAATGCTTGTCAAAATGGTCCAAATCAAAGGGTTAGTGCTGAGAAAAACACAAAAAACTTTAAACTGCCAACGGGAAAAAAAGACTGATCGATTTTTTCGTTGTTTTCGTTGTTTTCGTTACAAGTCTAGTAAGAATTTCTAACAATAAATAAGAAATTGTTAGTTACTCGCACGAAAGTTGTTTAGGCTGAGGACAAATACTTCATGAATCATTTCTCGAACTTCTCTCAAATCTTTACTGAAAAGTGCAACCAATTTGCTCTATGACCGATCGTTTTTTTTGTTGTAAACGCATAATTTTTATAGTGTTTCGAATCTACTTTTAAAAAGCATTAAATCATTTTTTTAAATTTCAGTTGACAAAAGGATGAAAAAGTTTCCCGTTTACAAAAGCACTCTTCTCAAAAAGAGTTACTCGATTCATTTATTCAGCTCTAGTGGATCCTTGAAGCTCTAGTGAACCCTTGAAGCTCTAGTGAACCCTTGAAGCTCTAGTGGATCCTTGAAGCTCTAGTGGATCCTTGAAGCTCTAGTGGATCCTTGAAGCTCTGGTGGATCCTTGAAGCTCTAGTGGATCCTTGAAGCTCTGGTGGATCCTTGAAGCTCTAGTGGATCCTTGAAGCTCTAGTGGATCCTTGAAGCTCTAGTGGATCCTTGAAGCTCTAGTGGATCCTTGAAGCTCTGGTGGATCCTTGAAGCTCTAGTGGATCCTTGAAGCTCTAGTGGATCCTTGAAGCTCTGGTGGATCCTTGAAGCTCTGGTGGATCCTTGAAGCTCTAGTGGATCCTTGAAGCTCTGGTGGATCCTTGAAGCTCTGGTGGATCCTTGAAGCTCTAGTGGATCCTTGAAGCTCTGGTGAATCCTTGACGTTATCTGTGCTATATCGGTACTTCATTTTAGGTTTTAAATGGGACCCATTGCCTATCCATTATCCTTTTTCGAGATTTATTCAAAGTTAATCCCACGGTTAGTTCAAGGAGAGGTTCTTTCGTTTTAGAAATTCCAGTCACCTCCAATAAGTTTGTGCATAGCTCTTTTTCAATAAGCACTGCCAGAATTTGGAATCGACTCCCCAGAGTTTCGAGAGAGTCCAATAATCTCGAAACCTTTAAATTATCTGTAGATGATCTTGATCTTGAAGCTCTGGTGGATCCTTGAAGCTCTAGTGAACCCTTGAAGCTCTAGTGGATCCTTGACGTTATTTGTGCTATCCATATATTACATATATTATGTCGTGTTGCTTTTTATCGGCCCTTTTCGTGTTATGTTTATGAATTCATGTGTTTTAATCTTAAATCTAGCGCACTTTATCTCAGGCCCTGAATAAAGTATCTATATAAACATAACATGTGGTCTTGCCTGGTCTTGCCTGACCCTGCGCGAAGCTAGGCTGCAATTCCGCTTCTGGATTGACTTTGATCTCGCCTTGCTTGACCTGACCTAGCTTACAAGGGAAACTTACAAGGGAAACTTACAAGGCCCAGCTTACAAGGCCCAGCTTACAAGGCCTAGCTTACAAAAGGCTCCGCTTTGTAACTAAACGCACTACCACTACATCACCTTTGTTAGCGTCCCGTCTCCATCCGTTTTTAACTCGAGAGCTCAAACTATGCGTTAGCTCCAAAACACTAAGCCATTCCGAAGCTAACTGAACTAGCTATCAAATCATGATATCGCTTTGTTTTATTCTCAAATTTGTTTAACAACTCTGTACAGGGGTGTAACTTTGTGCAACTTTTGCAGTAAGAGAATGAAAAATGTCAGCGAGAGCTCTTGATTACACACGAATTGATAGACTTTGCTCAGAAATTTGACTATAACTCCTCAGAAATTCAAGCATCATCGCCGTCCCTTTGATTTTTGTTAGCTCCTCCTTTAATTCTACCATTTTGCCGGGTTTTTCCATTTACGGTGAGCCATTTACTGAAATGAAAGTTGTTGAAATTTGTCAGAAAAGCTTTCTTCCCAAAGGTTTATTGTCTTTAGATCTTTAGATGCAAAAATCTTTAGACTAAAGAAAATCTCATTTTTGATTGTTTGAGAATTGGTATAGTTTCAAAGATTTGGATTCACTTAATTCATTAGCTGGTTACGGTATTTAGTCTAGATTAGGGTATTCAGTCTACACTAGCTGGATTACGGTATTCAGTCTAGATTCGGTATTCAGTCTACATTAGCTGAATTACGGTATTCAGTCTAGATTCCGTATTCAGTCTACATTAGCTGGATTACGGTATTCAGTCTAGATCAGGAACTATAAAAGAACTATAACTAAAGAAAATCGCATTTTTGATTGTTTGAGAATTGGTATAGTTTCAAACTTTTCGGTTCACTTACCCATAATTCTCACTCGCTTCCAACGTCTCCTTGTCAGCTTTCCACAAAAGTTTCTCAAATATTTCAAGTTGTTCGATGAATCCTAAAATCAAAGTGAAATTAAAATTGAAATCAAAATTGAGAATTCGTAAAGATAAATTTGTATAAGTCGGTTGCATAAGTCGCGTTTTTCTGACCTTCATTTGGATAGCAGGAGTGAGAGGATCTCAAATGATTGAGCGCTTCTTTGGTGGAGCACGAGTTTCTGTAAGAAGAATTGACTCATACTCAATACTATTGGGTTGTCCAGTTATGAATGCGCGTTTTTTACTATTTTATAAATTTCTCAAGATACCGAAATCGAGAAAAAGATATATGTTACGTCCGAATCTGAGGAGACGTCCGGATCGGAGATGGACGTCCGACTCAGAGATGGACGTCCGACTCAGAGATGGACGTCCGACTCAGAGATGGACGTCCGACTCTGAGTCGGACGTCCGTTTCGGAGGAGAATGATCATTCTTCTCGGAATCGGACGTCCGATCTTGAGAACAAATAGTTTAAATGCAAAATCCAATGCTTTGAACAAAACACATGTATTCAGATTAAAATTTTCCTTTTTCTTTCAAATTCAAAGGTAAAATTGATGTGATTGTGCTTTTTCAAGTTTTACTAAAGTGCCGTTAACCTTTATAACAAACATAACATAACAAACAAAAAACAACAACGAAAATTAATAGTTGCATAGACCATTGACATTAAAAATAAAATTGAAACAAAAAAGAGACAATAATTACTTGTTAGTAGAGCTTTTCGAATGGTGGCATCTCGAATTGCAGAGCAAGTCCTTCCTGCGACAAGCGCAGGAAGGAATCTTTCAATTGACATTCCTCGCATTGATCCACGAAAATCTTCAAAATGTCCTTTGAAATCCCGAAATAGCTTCGAAGAGCTTTCCACATTATCCCAATACCAGCGTGTCCGAGAGATTGGTGTTTTTGTCGAAGCAATTCGTAGAGATCCTCTCGTTTGATGACTTTTGTCCCCTTCGTCCTCTTTGCTCCATCGCCATGATGCAGCAGAACTGAAGTCCCGTTTTCGTTGAATAGAGAATATCGTCGGTGAAGATTTTGCCCCGCTTTTGATCTCCAATTGCTTTCTGATTGCAACAGCTCGATCATCTTTTTGTACTTTTCAGTGTTTGGGAAACAACTTCGTTGCCCGAGTTGCTCATCGAAGCCCGTCATTCACAAACTAAAAAAGAAACATATAGTTAAAAACATAGTTAAAATGCATAGATAAAAGAAAAAAATAAAACATCTTGCCAAATTGCCAAACCGCACATATTACCAAATTATCTGTGATGAAAAAAAAGTAAATTGAGAGAATTTCCATTTTAACTTCCTTTTTCATTTGTTTTGTTCAAAACATTGGATTTGCATTTAAACTGTTTGTTCTCAAGATCGGATGTCCGATTCCGAGAAGAATGATCATTCTCCTCCGAAACGGACGTCCGGATCTGAGTCGGACGTCCGTTTCGGAGGAGAATGAATCTCCTCAGATTCGGACGTCCGGATCGGAGATGGACGTCTCCTCAGATTCGGACGTAACATATATATGAGTATTATTCGAAAGCTGAAGATCTCCTCTACATTTTGATATAAAAAGTTTTTGAATTTGTCCAGCTTTTGGGCAAATTGACTGCACAGAAGAAGAGGTGGCCAAAAAATGGAAGGGTGCCTTTGGATCAAGTTTTGGCTCCGCTCAAATTGAGTTAACCGTTTGATGTTTGGCCAATAGATATATCAATACAACTTTTTTAAAATAGAACAATTTCAGAGCATCTTTACTTTTCTTTTCTTTTCTGGACGGTCATTTTACACCATAAAACTTGAGGAATAGCTAAGCTGGAATGGGTTTTTTCGAAAGCGATCTCTCCCTTTGTGCAGTCAATTCCCCAAAAAGTTGAATGAAAATTCAAAAACTTACGAGCGCCGCCTTATATACGACTCCTTTTAAAGGTATTCAACCGTTTAACTGATTTGGTGGGAAATTCCCTTTAAATGTAAAGATATTCAATTTACTCGACGTGTAAAGAGGATTACTCGTAGTTGCTCGATCAAAAACGCCGATTAATCGAGCAAAATTACTCATCCAGCTTTTAACTCACTTACCCGCGAGCAACACACTCTAGTGCTGAGACATGGGATGGTTTTTACTGTAAAAAAAACTACAGAATGAAACTAGTTCTCTGAAATTTTGGAGATTTAAGAGCTCATCTTAGTCTAGATTATGATATAAAAAATGTTTTTACGTAGATGCAGTATTTGGGAAGATTTAGTGAAAAATGTAAGGACGAGTTATTTCTTGTCATCCTTTAAAATAACCTCACCTTCTCATCACATATGCACAACAAACGGCGGCACTTCGAGAGATTCCCGCCTCGCAATGCACCAAAATGCTCCGATTTGAAGAGATTGCTTCTAGAATTGAAAAAAATGGGTTGCAATTTATATGATAATCGTCTTTCCTGTCAAATCTAAGCTTACAATCATTACAATCATTACAATGATTGTAATCTTATCCATAACTAATCATTGCAATGATTATTTATGGATTTAAGGAGAGCATTTAAGCAAACCTTCCAGAATACTCAACAATTCCTCCAATCGAGTGAGAATATTTTGCATTGGTACATCGTCTAATGCGATGTGATGATATCTGATGTGCTGAAATTGGATAATTGCTAATACTTTCAGCTTTTTAGACTCAAACCTCGTATTGTTTCGTCCAAGAAATTGGATCCAAGCAAACAGTTAGAATTTCAGCAATTTCTGTAAATTGAAAGTGGGAATAAATAACGAGGCAATGGGTTACTTGATGGTTTTAAAGAAATATTATTTTGCCGGCTCGGTACTCCTCACTCATGACAAGCTATTTCTTGTTTT